CCAAATGTCCATCAACTGATGAATGGATAAACAAAATGTGGTATATATCCATATACAAATAGCATTCAGCCATAAGAAAGAATGAAGTACTGATACAGTCTACAAAGATGAACCTTGAAAACTCACTGAGCCCTTTTGAGTATCACTTGTACTTTCATGGAGAGCTTAATAAAAACCTGTGTTTCATTCAACACACAGTAGTGACTATCTGAATCCCTTTTCAGTTCAAATTAGACACTTTATTTGTCTTTATTTTATGATTTGGCTTTAAAAAAATTCTCTTGAAGACATACTTGATCAAGAATTTAAAACAGATCAACATGAATCTCATCTCCAGATTAAAATGAAGGCAGTACCTAAATAGTATGTCTTTTACACACACACATGTAAAAAAATACACAAGTCATTTACACAGGCCAAAATGGTCCTAATATATTAGTGGAGCCCATCTGTAAAGTACTTTGAGAGCCTTAAGGAACAGCAGGAGATTGATGAAGTTATAACTGCATTCTACCTTTCTTTGAGTATGGTCAGTAATTTTGGGACAGGCTCAAAATAAAAAAAATTTTGCACAATAGCACCACTAAGTACTTGCCTTAAGCTACACAAAACCCGTTACCTTTGAGGAGTATTACTTCCTTTTCCATTTTTAATATTTCTGATGCTTCTTTTCTCAACCAAAGAAGTTGAGTCACATTTTGTGAGTAAACAAGTGATACCAAATATTATTCTTATGTTTTTAAACAGTGATTATCCTTTATCTTTGAACTAGAGCAGTGATTTCACAGGAATTAGCCCCTGAGCTCCACATTACGTTCACGAAGCATGCATGTGAAAACTGAGTTAAAGCTGAATGTTACTGGACGCTCCCTATTTGAGTGGAGCGTTTAAAAACAATAGTACACACCCAGATTCCAAGAGAACACAGCAAATGCAAAAATAAATAAAATACACATAAAACCAAATTAGGTTTGTTTATTTTTGAATCATTTTACTATTGAGGGGGCAGGGTGGGGGGAGGGAGTCCGGATGCTGTCACCTCCAATTCTTCCGCCAGGCTTCCAAGCACTTACAATGTCAGAAACAACATATTCATAAGATAATGTTAAAATAAATGTATTTTAATTCCTCACTTGCCTCATACTATTCTAACAAGGAGCTAAACACAACAAAATCAGAAAAATCGCCTCTTAAAAGTTCAAACAGCAAAGATTTTCTGCAAGGCAGTTTTCTACTCTATGTGTGAAGCCTTTCTTGTTATGACTCACTGAAAATTAAATATGCAAAACTCCAAGCTGAGCTTAGTTTTGCCTGTGCACAGGGACCTTTTTACTCTCATTCTTCGAAAACCTCATTTTGGATCTTGCTGCCAACACCAAGAGAGAGGAAAGCCGGCCAACAATTCCAAATATAACATGCGGAGGCAAATGCTACAGAAATCTGTCTGACAGGAAGCGACCATGCTGAGGTCTGCTGAGGTAGATGCACTTCTCAATCAGACCGTTTTGGTCCCTCAGTCTGATTGGAGCAAAATGCCATGAGAAAGCAATCAGAGGAAACCATCCAGTTTCCAGTCAGCCCCATTACAGATGCCCTATGGTGTTCACTTTGTCAGTGAGAACAATCCTATCCACCTCAAACATAAAGATGGGTCACCAGCAACTAGAGCTCCACCAGTTATTCTCATGTGGTGTTGGTTTTTTTAACCGATTTTCAGGGACCAGTCCACGGGGAGCAGTATTTTCAGAAAGCTCAACTTATAGCCTGACAATTATGATAAAGGTCAGGTTCACCAGGGAACACTTAAAAACATAGCTCTTTCCAATTCTCCAGGGGCAGGTTTAGTAACCCCTACTACTACTGTGAATAATTGATAAACCAGTTAAACTTGGATAACATGATTACACTATCACTTAAACAAATACGAAGACATACGCTCCTCAAGTTTAAGTCTTCAGTGAGCTACTTCATGCTACTGAGCACAGGACAATTCATTCCCTCCCAGAAATCATTACAGAAAACCCAGAAATAGGGCTCCCAGTCTAACTGGGAAGAGAGGACTGCTCCTCATACAGAGCACTGGCCCCTGAGAAAAGACGAGACAATTAAAACAAGTTATTTTACCAGTCACTTCCTCCAGTAATTTATCTTAGAAAAATCTACTGTGGTTATGGCCATGTTACTAAGCCCAGGAGGTAAAGTTTGCCTAGAATCACTTCTGGAACATTTTACTAGATCCTGTTCACTGTGAGGCAAGCTGGCAAGGCACGCTAGAGACTGAAAAAGGACTTGTCTCACAGAGCTTTGAATGGAGACCCACAGGGTTTGCAAAACTCCATCTTCACTCTTATACATTCTGTACATAAGGAAAATTATCTTACTATGCTTATCTAAATAATCCAGTCTTAGCCAGTTAAAAAGGGAAGTAAGAGCAAATCCAGCCACACCTCCTAACCTCACTCCCACGTGGCACAAGTAAGCAATAATGGACAAATTAACGGGAGTACACTCAGGAATCAACATTTTCCGTCACCGTTAACTGCTTGACCTCACTGCTGTGGTTGAGATGGTTAATGAAGTACTTCACTTGTGCTGGAAAGAGTGTGGGGTAGGAGGCAGGAAAGTGGGATAAACCTCACTTGAAAGAGGGCTTCCTGCCTTTGTACTAATATCTAGAATGTTCTGTGATTTATATGTCAATGGTACATTCTGTACTGGCATCTTCAAAGGGGTAACTGGAGATGTGAAACAAGCCCTGCCTCATTTACTAGGATTCTCAAATCTCTGATTACCAGTTCCCATTCATGGTTTAAAAAAAAAAAAAAAAGTATTCAATGAAATGCAGTCCTGACAAGCCTGAATCTCACTAACAGCTACAAGTCCCTCCCTCTCTCCTTCCAGCTAAAGTAGAAACTGTTAATTGTGACAACTTGACAAGACTTAGACTTATCTAATTAAAAGATTCAGAGATTAGGTTTTAGAGTTTAAAAGCCCAATCTCAGGCAAAAAAGCACACTTTTTCCACACCTGAAGTTTCCAATAAACAACTTCAGGTTTATTAAAGAAATGAGATTAGAGATAATAAAGAGCTTATAAAATTCTCACTCAACATGGGAATCACCATGCTTGGTTAACACTAATTTCATCTTAGAGGTAAAACATTACTAACACACCTTCTAAATCAAGAAGGCTACAACTCAGTCCTAATATATATATCAAAAAAATACAATTAAAAAAATTGGAATAACAGGTAAGCAACACAACATATCCAAGTACAAATCTCCTGTACTCAAGAACAGCACAGGAAACTTGATCAGAGATATTTTTCCCAAGTGGATTACACCTTACAGGAAGCAATGGCTAAAAACCACAGACCTTTCCTGCTGGTATTAGTTACTTCATAACAAAATTTTTAAAGCCAGCAGCAAAGCTTCCTCCAGGATAATCATTTTTGTCCCTGCAACATTACAAGCAAAGATGGGGCACCCTCCTAGGCAAAAGTGTCTTGGGAATGGTAATAGGAGCTTCCTATCTAACTTCTGACCACAGACTTAATTTGCCCAGTATCAGTCATCTGTCTAATAAGTGTTCCAAAACCTGCAATTAGTACAAATATACAGTAGGCACTATTCCACAAACCGAGAGAAGGAACGTGAATGCAACTGCAGAGAGTGCTTAAGAAAAGCCTCAGTTTTTTTTTTTTTAAAAAAACAAAGGCCTGAAAAAGGCAACATCAAAAACGGGTGGGAACAAACAGAACAGCTCCTCTCCTTCCCGCCTCCTCTCACAAGCGACTGCCTCAGTCACCTGCTGCTGAACAACAGACCAAGACCCATCAGAACAAGACGCAATCTGGGTTCCCTGCGCAGATGGAGGATTTTTGTGAAGGGCAGAGGTGATTTCTCCAGGCAGAAGCTGGAGTTTCAACTCTTCTTGGCCGGATTGTTCTGGGATGAGCTGCTGAGGAGGATCAAGCAGCGGGCGATCAACCCAGGTCCCTCCCTCTCTCTTCGGTCTCTCCCCTCCCCTCGCGTTCAGTAAGAGTGGAAAAAAAAAAGCACACAGCTTTCCAGCTCTCCGCTCCTTAAAAATGCCCTCGCAGAGCCACACCACACAATGCTGCCCTGGAAGCAAAGAATTTTGCAGCGAAGGGCTCGTCGATCCGGAGCGGAGAAGAGAAATCGGCGCCCAAGGGCAATTTTAATTGTCTAATCTGGCCCGATTTCCTAAGAGGCGGCAGCGCGGGGAGGGGAGGGAAGAGAGAGGCAGCTCCGAGAGGCAACAGGGGGGAAGCGGCGGCAGAGAAAGGGGACCAAAGCGGTGAGATCCCAGCCCGAGGAGCTTCTGCAGAAAGGACTCCGGGGCTACCCCCACCGCTCCCCGGGAGACGTTTGCAAATCATATATGCAGCCAAAATGGCGCTGAGAATAAAAATATAATTTAAAGGCAGGTCGCCATATTGTAAACAGAAAGGCAGAGAAGAGGCGGACTCGACAGACATCCTCCATGATTTCTTCCACAGCCGCAAGCGCCCAGGCCCCCGGCCCTCCGGGTCTGGACCAGAGCAGCTCGGGCAGCCGAGGGCTCCGCGCACCCACCCCGAGGAGAGCCCAGCCCAGCAGGAGCCCGAGGGCGACGGGCTGGCGCGCGGGCAGGCAAGCAGCACAGGGCCCGGAGCTCCTCCCCTTCCTCCCCCGCCACCGCCGGCCGTGCCCTGCCGGCTCTATCCCGGCTACCCAGCGACTTCCAATCCCAGATGGGGCTCTCCTCACTCCTCCCAACCCCCACCGCGGGGTCCGGACCCACTCCTGCTCCTCCCCCCGCAAAACGGCCAGATGCGGGCCGACACCCGGGGGCGGGGAGGCGCTCGCCCCAGCGGCTGCAGAAAGTCAGCTAGCGGCTGCAAGCGCCCGTTATTTCGGCAGGTTGGGGTAGGCCAGGTGAAGGAATGTGCCGAGAAGGGTCCGCCAAGGGGCTGCAAAGGGGTCCCCAAGCCTTACCAGCACTGGAGGTGAAAAGCGGCCGGGCAGTGGTCACAGCACAGAAGATCCCCACCTTCTTTGCAGCTATCGCAGCTGTCGTGGTTGGTGGCCCTGCCGCTTCTCCGGGGCTCCTTTTCAGGCTTCCGACTCCGCTTTTCTGCCTCGTCCGTCTTGGGGGGAGCCAGCAGAGCTTGGATTTGCTGCACACACATACAAACGGCGTGTGTGCACACTCGGAGCTCCCGGGCGGTCCGTCGCCCCCCCGGCGCGGCTTCTCCGTCACCCACCCCTCTCCCCCCTTTTGTCCTTCTTCCTCCCATCCAGGCTGCTCCCAGAACCTCTCAGCCCCCGGAACCAGGGGGAGCCCACCCTAACCGCGTTCCTGCAGCACAACAACGAGAACAGCTTATTCCAAATGGGGAGGATCAGGGTAGGGGGATGGGGAGAGGGTGCGCGGTTCCCTTCTCGCCACTTCCTTGTATGGACAGTGGGGGACTCCAGAGCCAGGCTCGGGAAAGGCCTGAAGCCCGGTACCCGGACGTGCTGGGGGAAGCACAAAGGGGCCGACAAGAAGGGGGTGGGGAGGCCCGCCGGTACAACGAGATGGAGTGGGCTGGCGCCTCGGGAGAGCGAATCGAGGGCGGCGGGTAGGTGAAACTGCTGCACACGTCCTCGGAGGCTGAACTCAGCCCCCCAAATTGCAAAGATGGGAGGGAGAGTCTGAGTGAGGAAGAACCCCCCTCCCCTGGCCCTCTTGCGCGGCGAGCTCAGGACCGGCTTTGTGGGGCGGAGGGCGGAGGTTCCCTCCCGGCGCTGGGGGAAGGGGATGAGGAGGGCCACTCTTACCTCCATTAGCCCCCCCGACGTGTCCAAGTCGTACACGATCGTCTTGGTCTCCATTTTCTCCCACATTCATCCACCTCCCGGGCTGGGCGCTTTCTGCTCCGGCCCCCCCAACCCCGTGGGGAGGGGGGAAGCGGGAGGAGGGGGCGCTCCTGACCCCGGTCCCCCTTCTTTTTTCCCAACACGGGTCCCGACTTCCTCGCCCTGGCTCCCCCCCACCCCCCGGCCCCCAGTCCCCGGGACGGCAGCGTCCTCCCCACGGGCCGTGAGGGGGGAGCGGCCCCTCAGCCCCGGCCCGGCGGCTGGCTGCACGGTGGGTCCCGGCTCCGGGGGTCAGGCCTCGGCGGGGCCTAGTCCCACAGGCTAAAGCCGGCGCTGGCGACCGCTGGTCCGGCCGGGAAGGCTGGCGGGCGCTGCCATCCCGGGGTTGGGGGGATCGGAGGAGGGGTGAGAGGTTAGGTGAGGTTGCGGTACGTGAGGTGACTGCGGGGAGGGTGATGGGGGGTGGTCCCCGGGCTCCGCCTCTCGCCGCCGCCGCCGTCTGCGTCCCGGCTGCCGCGCACTTGGCGCAAACTTACCGCGAGCGCCCGCAAAGCCACCCGCGCAGGCGCCCCGGGATCGCCGCTCGCCGCGCGCAACCGCAGTGACAGGCGGCGGACGGGCTCCCGCGCAGCCGCAGTGAGGGGGCACCCCCCAGCGCGCAGCCGCGCTGGCATTCGTCTGGAGCGCCGAAGCCCCGCCTTTCTGCCCTGCGCCAGCGTACTGAGGTAAAAGGGCGGCACCTGAGGTCTCGCGCAGGCGCTTGGGAGAGCTTGTAGGGGTCACAGCGCAGCCGCAGGAACACGGGGACGCTTCATCCATTGGTGTCCATTGGTGTTTGTGTATAGACCAAGAGTACTCTGTTCCCGCGCAGGCGTGTTGAGGATGCTCCCCTCCCGCCCCACAACAACACAGCCAGCTCCTGCGCAAGCGTATTGTCACCTGCAGGCCCTAACAAGAATGCTTCTCCTTTCGCCATTTTGGTAATGGGATATAGGCTACTATGTCTTTGGAGTCCTCAGGCATGAACAGGAAGGAGCAAGGTGTGGTATTTGCTGGAGCTGGTAGGCTGTCGGTGACAGCAGTATTCCTAGGGATGTTGTACTTGACTGGTGGGTTCCAGCATCAGGTGTGGCTGGACCAGGCGCCATATTGTTAAAGAGAAAAGAAAAGCCATCGCGACGGAAAACGATGCTTTTGGTATCGGGTTGGATGGCTGCTATACCCACTTCCCTCCAGCTCCCGACAGTTAATTTTAGCCTGAGCATCTCTGCCTTGCGTAGTGATGGCACCATGGAGAGTTCCGCCTGCCCGTTATTATCCTCTCTTGATCACTGTCCCCGAGAATTGCTCTTCAAGAGGAAGCCAAAAGCGAAGAGTTTGTAATGTTGACAACGCCCAGCTACCTGCCTACAGTGGACTTCAACTCCCAGTTTGCAATGCGCAAGAGGTCCAAAGGGCGAACGGGAGCGCATTGCACCCTGGGAGCAAGAATCTCGATGGGTCTTGTGGATTGTGGGAGCCGTAGTCCCGTGTGCGTGCTGTGCACTGTACGTAGGATGGACTCTGGGAAGAGTGATTTGCCTGCCAGGAAGGGATACTTTTGAGAGCTGCAGTGCTGTATGCTGGGATTTGTAGTCTGAAAGCCTCACCTCGAATTCTGGGCGGGGCTTCATGCCCCCTCCAAGGCGCCCGCCCCTCCCCTTGGTATTGCCTTCAGAGATGGCCAGTTGTCTCTGCCTGACTGTAGACGAAGCAGTGGAGAAGGGAATGGCATCATTGTGCTTGACACTAGGCGTTTAGTTGGCATCGTTACCAGGTGGCTGTGTCCTGCTCACTTCTGATGTTAAGGTATACTTAGCATTCTCAGAAGCCTCAAATTGGAAAGAGCTTAGACCATCTGTATTAATCCTCTCACTTCCAGATGCACAGAGAGGGGCAGTTATTTGCCTAGTTAACGTAGTGAATTTATGGCAGACCTAGGAATGAAACATTTACTGATTCCCTGGCTAGGACACTGTCTAACTGCCTGTGAGGAGTTGTTGCTGCTCCTTCTTTTGGGATAGTAAGGAGGATGACTTAGATAGGGTGGGGATGTCAGTGTGTGGTCTTAGATTTCTGTTTTTCTGACTATTCTGATGATCCTCCTGGTGCTTTGGAAGAATGATAAGGTCATGGGCCTTATTGGTTGGGTGGGGGGGAATGTCATGTAAATTGGCCACTCTCTGCCATCTACTGGCCTCAGCAAACAAGGAGTCTTGTGGCTACGGACCAGAGCTGTGGCCTTCAGAGTAAGATATATGGAAGTGGCCAGACCTCATCTCTTCTGGGGCTGTATTTCATGCCACAGGCCCTCAAAAGTTGGAACCTCATGTGCCCTCTTTCACTGGCTTCCTTCCTACTGCTCAGGGCCCGGCTGTCCTGCTGTGTCAGCCTGAAGGCATTATGGTGAACATAAGTAAGCCATTGGCATATGCCCAATGAGCAAGGCTTTACTTTGATCAACACCATCAGTTGCAGTTGAGAACAGGAACAGGCAGTGATCTAAGGAGGGAAATAATACTTGGCTCTGTTGACAAGTGCCAGGGGAATCAATCACTCCACACACTTTCTTCTTGGAACTTGGAGGGTGAGGTCAGCCCAGTGGGGCTAGGAGTTGGTGCCACCTTGGAGAGCTCCAGCCCTGGATGTTCACGGGGGTTGAGAGAGAGCAGGTGGGATACAGATGCCTTCAGAAGTGACCTCTTGTGGCTGATCTAGGCACTGCACTCTGCTTGGACTGGAGCCTCTCCATCCTTCAAGGTGGCTTGTGCTGAGAGCCAGGAGGTGGAGTAGTGAAGACCTCCCTGTTGGAGGACTGCAGAAGCAGAAGGTGCTAGTTGCTGCTATTATTTCCTTCAGGGATTTTTCCTCTTGCTTCTGAGTTCCCATAACTCCCTGTTGCCTGCCTCTTGCTCCTACTCTGGAGAGCAGCAATGCAGAGCACACTGCTAAGTGTGGATGTGCATGCTGGGGACCAAGGCTGGGCAAACATTTCATCTTAGGAGGTGCTGGGGGCCATAGGGGCTGGGAGGGACCAAACTTGGCAAACTTACACAGATCCTCTCCAGCCACCTCTTTCCGGAGCCCATGGATAGGGCTTTTGCTAAAAGAGGAGCCAAGCTCCTAAGCTGCATTGCCCCTCCTCCTGACAGTCTGGATGTTCTCTGAGGCCAAGACAGACTAGGACCTCATGTTTGGAATAGGAATCAGAGACTGAATAGGAATCAGTCTATTCCTGAGCCTTGCTAGCTGGGAAAGAAGGGGAAGGAGAGATGAATCAGGCTTCCTGGGCCTTGTCAGCAATACAGTGACATTGAGAAGGGACTTGGGAGTTTGCCAGCTGGTAGTTTTGGACCTAGCAAAGAGGAGGAAATGAGGCATTGGGGTGGATAAGCAGTTGGGTTTCTGTGCTCCCGTACCCTCATGGCACCGGCCATTTGGGCCTCTCATTTCACCTGCTGTCTGTAACACTGACCTTATTGGGACAGTGGTCCCTACAGCACCTGAGTGTAACTGGTTTTTTATAAAATCCAGGGATGATCAGTTGGTGGGTCCAGCATGCCTGCTGGTCCTGAAGTCCACATCCCATTTATCTCCCACCTCCCTTCCCTCCAAGAAAGCACCATCCACCTGGCCATTGCTTGCTTTTTTCAAAAACGCCATTTTAATAAGGAAACAACAGAAATAGAAGATTGTTCTCTGGCTGGAGCCCAGACCCCATATAATACATTACATGTACAAAATGGCCTGCAGCCAGCTCCTGGGCCTCTCTGACCCCCTGTTCCATGCCAAATTCCTGGGCCCTTGGATCTCTGCTCCTCTCCAGAATATGACTGCCCACTTCACTTATCCCAAAACACAGTGGCCAGGAGGGGAGCCTGGCAAGTGGCTGCGGTTGGAGGAGGGACTAGTGGGAAAGAGGATGTTTGTAACAGCCAGAATGACATCAGGGGAAGGTCTCCCTCTCCTCAGGGTGTAGGGCTGCCGGGGAAGCAGTGGGGTGGCCTGCTTTGGTGTGGAGCATGAAGGGAAGCCCAACCTGAGCTTGGGTAGGGTCCCTAAACCCCTTAGGATCCCTTAGATTTATTGCCTCTACTGGGAAGGGACAAGAGGCAGAACTGTCCATTTCTGGGGCCTTAGGGAAAGACTAGATGCCTCCCCAGGGGGCTGATATTTGCATGCCAGGACTCCCCAGAGGTCACTGTTGAGAGCAGTTTGGGCCATTGTTGATGGCCCTGTGAGGAGCATCCTGGCATAGTTTCCGCCACCATCAAGTTAACCCTGCTGCAGGGTGCTATATGCCAGGGCTGGATGGTGGTCACGTGGAGAGAGATGCTCCCACTTTGCCTGTGAATTCCAGGCTGAGGGTCCACAGCATGAAGGAGGGTCAGGAGAATGCTGGTTCTTGATGCATGTGCTCCAGCTGTGTTCTGCCCAGTGGCAGATGCTCCCTGACCTGGACCCAAGGACAGGCCCCAATTGGGCAGTGGTACCGAGAAAATAGGCCCTGGTGGGCATTGCAGGTGGGGAAGGGCACAACTTCTTGAGGGATAGGTGGTGTCTCTTCCCAGATGGTATGTACAGGAGGTGGAGGGACAGCAGGAAGCTGGGAGCTCTGCTGCTAGGCTGTGATGCAGGGCTGAGCTGACTTCTCCAGGTTGTCCCCACCTAGATGGAGACTTCATATTCTCTCGTCTCCTGCAAAGGAAAGAGACTGCTGGGAGTTGGAAACTTGTATAAGGTTTGCCAGCCCATAATCCACCTTCCCAAGGAAAAGGGAAAGAGTGAGAGGATGTGTCAGGACCCTCATGGGTACCTGCCCAAGGGAGCATAGAATTGGGTCCTGGATAGGGTGTCAAGGTTGGCATGGATACTTACTCCAGTCTCATAAGTTGGGTTGTCGAACGCTGACTCCACGGTGATGCGGTCGTAGGGGCGGGGTCGTGTCCGGGGCAGCTGCAGAGGACTTTTCCCCTGGAGCCTGCTGGGCAGAGAAGCCTGTGAGTCAGGAGTGCTGGGCAGGAGGGAGTCAGGTACGCAGGGCAGGAGGGGAAGCCAGACTCACCTGGAGAAGTAGAGGTACACACCCCCCACCAAGAGCGCCATCGCCACCAGAGGCAAGAAGATGGCAGCTGCAATGTGGGCAGCATCCAGGGTGTTGGAGGCAGTAGGCGCCTTGGCAACTGAAAACACAGAGGGTGGGATTAGGGCAGAGGTCCCTGTCACCTGGAGCTCTCCTCCCTTCACCTCTGCCCAGGGGCGTCCGGCCACTAGCTCCCTCTAGCTGTCTGGGGGCAGGGAAGGAGCATTTTGCCCTGCTAGTCCCAGACCTCTCTCTTTCTCTGTCCTCCCTCCTTGGGGAACCCATGGCCTGGGAGCTGTGAAAACCAGGGGCAGGGAGACTACTTCCCTGGCCTCAAGGGGGCTCACCATCCAGACTGCGGCCGCTGTAGAACCCATCCAGAGAGGCTGGAACAAGAGGGGAGGGCCAAGGGCCAAGTGGTGAGCCCAGTGGACCAACCACTAAGCCAGGGAGCAGGCTGATCATGGGAATGATTTGTCCGAGGAGAGCCCACCCC